AAAACCTCCTACCCCTAGCAAAGTTTACTGCTTCACTATTTTCAACCAGTTGCTCTTGGCTGACTTGGGGCTGAACCAGCAACGTGTAGGCACTGGCAAAAGGAAACTGCAGTTCTTGGCTTTCTTGACATTCATGGATAAAACAGTGAATATAGTCTGCACTTTTTGTGGAGGAGTGGGACACAAGGAGAGGTTCAGTTTAAAAATTTCAGTTTACAATCCTCCCTGGAAGCCACAGGGGAGTGCTTAAATAAAGACCAGCTGAATTTCACAGAGCTTGACCACAGTTTTTCTTCCATCCTGAAAAGGGTAAATCCAGGTAACTTAGCATTACCACAGCAGAGACCACTATTTTTCATCTGTCAGATTTCCACAGCATGTTCCTTCACACAGCATGCACCGGCTTCTGTCAAAACTGGAATTCCCCTTTTTGGTGGAATATTTTGTAAAAAACAAAATGTTGCTATCAAGTGTATTTTAAGAATATATGTTGCCTTACATAAGCACTGAATGTGTTAAAAAAACTCCCATTTTTGGAGGACTGGGTCAAAATGTTCTACCTAGTTCTGTACACCAATAACATGCAGCTGGTGAAACCAGACAATGAAAGGATGTACTGTAGACAGAGAAAGGTGGAAAAGGTCACAAATCTCACTTTGCAGAGAGTCCTTCAGATTTGTTTTTTTGTGTTTTGGGTTTTTTTTTAGCTGCCATTCTTCACATTCAGTAGTTATCATCAAGTTAAGGAGAAGCAGTAAGAACTTCCCATGTTCCTGAAAGGCAGTTGCTTCTGCTATTGTCCAAAGTGGTTAGCTGGCATAGTGACCCAACTGTTGTGTGGCCACAGCCAGTGGCTGGAACAGAAATCCAGCAGATTTTGCTGTCTCTTGTGTTGGAGAAGCACTTTTTTTTTCCCACCATCTATCTTGGCGCACTCTGTAGAAATCTGTCACTTGTAATACAAGCAATGCTGCCACCGAGATAGGGGATTACACTTCTCTTGACGCATCTCCAGCTGTCCAAATTATTGGCAGACTTTCCACTCAGATAGGTGCTGTAAAAACAAAACTTCTATTTAGAAGAAAATAGAAAAAAATCCCTGCGAAATAATAATATTGTAGGATGTTTTTCCTATGTAATCAGTTGAACAAGCTGCAAAGCTATGGAAAAGATGTATTCACACTGCTGAGAGAGAATGGGCTGGGGTGAAGCTCTGCCTCGATACCCAAGACACTAGAGTCCCTCTGCCCTTGTGCAAAGACTGAAAGTGCCTCTTTTTGTGCAAATGCAAAAAGTCCTCTCCTGCTAACATCCCCCTCCCTTCTGAAGGGATGCCAGTGTCACTTTTGGTTCATTTTAAGCTACTTCAGGGAACGAGATGCACAAAACCTATCTGTGGTCAAGGGAAACCAGCTTCCTGAGGCTCCTCTACAGGCAGTGGAGGGATTCCTCCATGTAGCAATTCAGAATTGCTCCAGCTCTGAATTTCTCCTTAGTGGAGCACCCTGCCCCACTGACTAACGGGTGCCTGAAGAGACTAACCCCACTGGGATGAAACTACACTTCTTCACAACCCGCCTTCTCTCCAGTTTCCGAAACTTACTACTTTGTAACAGCAAAGCTAGTCTCAGTAGCCTCTTTTTGGTTTAGAGTATGGCTCTCTTTGGGTTTTGCAGTATTCAGGATGCCTGTCCCCTGTGACACGATCCTACCTTCTTTGTAAAATGAAACCCATAGAAGCAGAACCATATTTACATCAGTATTGAAAAGCAAAATGCTGTGGCAGAGTGCACCCTGTGGGTACACCTCTGCAGTGCCTTATTCCCCATCCACCACACACAAGTTGCTTGAAAATCTCAAATTATCATTGAAACATTAATTTCTTCAAGAGCCTGTCTTTTGCCACAAGGTAGTATCAGCTATTTCCAAATAATTTCTGACAGATACAGGTTTCTTCTTTCATTAAGAAAAAACAGAACAGCAACAAACCTGGACTGATGGAGACTTGCCAGCCTGCACAAACTCTCTGCCTCAGTGCTCAACTATCATTACCCTTAGGCATCTTCTCCTAACATCTAGCTTAAATCTCCTTTGTTTAAGCCTGCTGTGCCCACTGGGTTAGTACAATAAATAACTTGTCCCATCCTCTTTAAGGACTCTCTGAAGAGGGTTGTTATTGTGTCTTTAATCAGCCTTGCCTTCTCCAGCCTAAACAAACATAACCAATCTTTCATCAGAGATCACATTCCCTAGATCATTCTCATTTCTCTGGTATTGGTCCAAGTTGCCCATAAATTGGGATGCCCAAAAGATATTGCCTTCTGTGCTTTATGTGGCTCTGTTGGCAGAAAACAGCCCTCAGAGGTGGGACAGCTTCTGATAGCAGCAAACCACCAAAGCTGCTGTCCAACCTCCTCTTCCACAAATGGTGCGGAGATATGCCAAGGAAAAGACAGTGTCTGGAAGGCAAGTGTCTTTGTTTTGTTGTTAATGAACAAATGCTACATATGCCTTCGATATAAGATAAATATTTACCCCTCTTGATGTTACAGAGGTTTTTCTACTTACAGGCTAATTCCAGGGATCTAATTAAATAGGGCCTGGTGCAAGTAAGTACACAGAGAAAGTTGACCTTAAAGGAACTGCTTGTGTTATGTTAATGCAGCTTACAGGAATGGAAGGAGAAAATGTCTCTCTATCTTAAGGAGAAAATCCATCCTCCTGTCCATGTTATGCTCTACAGGAAACAGTGTAATGCCTGTTTATGTTTAGCAAACGCAAATGTTGTGGATCAGACTGGGGTTGCATGATGGGTCTGGAAAATAACTGACTGTTAACCCAGTTCGCATGACCACCAAAGAAGTTTTAGAAGTTTTTTTTTAATTTAAGGGTTATTTTGCTTCTGCTTGATCTTATGAATTAGGTATATTCACAGCATCTGCTAAGGCAAACTATGCTTTCACTATTAATGTTTTGGTAGAACCACAGTATTTTCTGCCTGTTCTGCAGAGACAACCAGGCAACAGCCATTTGCTTCAGCAGAAACTACCAAATTAAATACAAAATAGGCATATATTTCATCCTCTCTGTACTCTTGCAAGTCCCCTGTGCCGATTTTTTTTTTTTTTTCCGAATTTGTCTTGGATATTTTTGCCCTGTTTTTATTTTTTCCCCCACTACAAATGATAAATGAATTTGTAAACTAGCTGGCCTGCATATGGCATTCTTGCCTATAAAAAATATGAACACGTTGAAGGTCTAAACTGCCTTTTTTTTCTCTCTAGGAAAAGAGTGTGCTTAGTACTTTTTAAATTGGGTGCATATGTGCTCAGATTCATAGACATGAGCATATGATGTTCCTGTATCCCAGCTAAAGACCTTCTAGGATATGGTGCCTAAAAAGATAGGGAACAACCATTTGGTGATGGGCAGTGACACGATATGAAGTAATAAATGGTCAGTGTTGTCCTGACTTGAAAATTGGTGTTTTAAAATAGATTTTCCAAGTTTGGCTCTGCTTGGCTGATAGCACAATCCACCCATCTTGATGGCCAACAGTAGCTGCAGCATGGCTGTAGAACAGGAGGGGAGGGTGGCTTCAGCCTGTAGGCTTTGTGTCCCCTGTCGATTTGTCATGTCTTTTGGCCTGAACTGTTGAAGGAACTTCTGGGAACCAAGACTCTCAGGCTGCCTTTGGTGATGCTTACAGTCTTCAAGGACAGAGAAGAAGTAGGACTATAGCTTTACAGGCTTGAGTTTGTAACATCCAGCAAGTCTAATACAAAGGTTTTGTGCTGAACTTGAGTACCGCAGCTATGAAATCACTCTTGAGAAAAATATAGCAATGTATTTTTAATACTTACAGTTGAGTTCTCCGTTGTCTTCATTTGGTTGGACATCTGTGGAAACAAATGCACTGTTTTAAGCATGCAGGGTAGATAACTATAGTCTTTATCCACATGAGATTAATATTAAGCAACATCCACCAAAGTCGAGGGTTCAGTGTGCTAAATGGTTTTTGGGCAGCAAAATGTAGTCCATACTCTATTTCTTTAAAACCTAGGTCACCATTTCAGCAAGGATAGATTTTGGACTTGAAGGAACAGTGCTGCTCCATGTTTTGGGACAGAGTCCTGCACCATTCTTGGGTTGTTTCTGAAGGAAGGACATGGCTCCTAGCACAGCTACTGCAGGTGCTGGGTGAGATCACTACCCTGCTTTCTCCTGCTCTTTTCCAAAGTATCTGGGCTTGCTAGCCATGATGAAGAGGGCATGGACTGAAAAGTGTGGTTGCCCCTGCTCCCTTTTCTTAGATGTTAGCTCTTGTATACCTGTCAAGTGGCTTACAGAGGTACTCGAATACATCAGCAGACACAGTCTTGTGGATCTGACTTATTTAGAGCTACCTTTTGTTCTGTCCTGCCAAGCACTCAAGAGTCACACACATAGGCAAATGCAGCAATATGAGGGTACGCACATATAATGTGGAACAGCAGTGAGACATGCTTTATTTCTAACTCATAGCAAGCTGCTTGATCCCAGTGGGATCTTGAACCCTTAATTGTCTGGCCAGTGACTCTGAAGCTCTCAGGATCAATTTATCCTCTCATTTCTGCTTTGCATCATGCTAAGCAGAGTGAGCTACTGACCCCGGTCCTGTTCTGTGGAGGACCATCCCCTCCAGAAACAGCCTGAAGGGATCACAGCTGAGAAACTAGGGCTTGAACCCGCACAAAGTCTGCGTTACTCACATCCAGCAGTTAACTCCTCTGAGGCTCAGGCACCATAGCAGAAAACCATAAAAAAACCACATGTCCTGAGCACTATGCGTCCTCCCCAGGGCATTCCAGTTTTTGATAAAAGCATGGTTTCCTGCTGTTGTGTGCAGGCAGCTTACTTGTACCTTCTAGCAATGCTAGAAAAACTAGATGACATTAAATATTTTGGCAAATGGAAAAGAATTCTTCAGATTTGGTCATGCAAATCAAGGCCCTCATTACCTGTATAGGATACTAATTTAGAGGACCTCCGTCTCCACAGCCAGCAGGTTAAAACAGCTAGAAGACCTATCAGAATGACAATGGAAACTATGCCAGCTGCTTGAGCACCTCGTCCATTTTTTCCCAGGTTTTTGTGACTTTCTGTGCTAGGACCATTGCGTTGCTTCTGCTGTGTGTCTAGAATAAAATAGAAAAAAAGGATGTAGCTAGGTATATATTTTCACATTTCATAACAAGCAAATATTTGACCCCGTTTTACATAGACACAAAAACTTCTGAAGGACTAATATCACTGTGATTCTGGTGGTATTCCTTCTGAGCAAGGCACATTTTTAGCTTATGCAGTCTAGTAATACAATGCCAGTTTATTCATCATACTGCATGCATGCCTCTTTCTTCCTTTTTGTTGTTCTTTCCTGCCAGCCTTGGGAGACTATGTTTGAGCTTGTATCTAGACTCAGCTGAAAAGAAATCTATACAGAATCTATAATGTAAACCTGATGGTATATTCAGAAAAGTGGGTGAAAACCTGTTTCTCTGAAGTTAGTGATGAATTCCCACTGATTGCTGCAAACTCAAGGTTTCAAATCCCAGGTCTTGCTCTTTCAAGTGTGGCAGTGCTTTTAGAAGCCAGCACAAAATAAGATGATGAAGGTGTTTTCCCCAGAATACGATATGACAGAATGCCAGTAGGAAACCAATGACAAGGTTTCTTAGTTTTCCTTTAATTTGGGATGACAGCAAGAGTATGCTATCACATAAACACTCTGCTGTGCAACTTTTGCTTGTGTGCACAATTTTTGTTCCTGGAAATAGTTTATATCATTTGGCTATGTTTGTGGGATCAGTGTTGTTAAGTCCACAGTATGGGACTCCTTGGCACGTTCAGGTAAACTAACTGCAGGTATCCAGCTACAGTTATGCAAGCAGACCAACTTCCTTGCACCAGGGTGCAGAAACCTGTGAGAGAAAGGCGTGGCGGGAGACAGGACCAGGAACAGCAATGAGACTGAACAGCCACCTCCAGAAAAACACTCCTGCTCCAGATAGCTTCTCTACACAGCTGTTTGGAAATCATGAAATCCCCTATTGGTACTATAGCTACAGCTTTTCTTAAAATAGCTTTCTGTTTTTGAGTATTTAGCTGCTCAACTCTTCACATTTTTACTAATCACTCATATCAGCAGTAAATAGCATATTATACTTGTGTATTGTTTTATTGGGCTAATATTACCCATTTGCTACGGGCCTACTTTAAATAGCACACTGTATGAAATGAAGTTTTGGGGACTGAAAACAGAAACTAGACCGCGTAAAAAGCAAATCTGAGTGTTGCAAAGCAGTTGGGTAGGCATTCAGGAATCATGGATCTGTTGTATGGTGCACCCTGAAAAATAACCTGACTCCCCCAGTCATCATGTTCCTGGGGGGAAAGCCTAGTGACTGTCCTGGATGCAAGAGCTTCTCAGTGCCACTGTCGTACCACACTTGATGGGGTGTTCACTTCACAGTGAACTTCCACACTTCAGTGTGGAAGAAGTTAAAGTCCATGGCTAAGCATAACTAGCTTGAATCAAATCCTGAGCTCTTCTCGGCACTTTTTTGGAACTACTGAATTAATGCATAGCCCTCATTCGTGCATATCTACAGACAGAGACATATTGGTTGATATTCCTGTTATCTAGAAAATGTGAAGTATCATGAAAGGACTTACAGTTGGCTGACAGATTTTCCCGCAGTATTTTATTTTCTATGGAGCACTCTATCTGCATGTTAGAAGTGGCTTTAACCTTCAGCGTGCTAAAAATGCTGTAAGTGCCATCGGCATGAGGGGTGATCTTTAGCTCAGATGGAGGCAGGTGGCTGTTGTCTGTTTTATTTATCCAATAAACATTGGGCTCTGGGTATCCATTGCCAGACCTGCAGCTGAAAGTCATCTCCTCTCCAGTGCTGTCACTGTTTATCGGTCCACTGAGTATTGGCTGGCTGTAACTAGCTGGAGAGCGAGAGAAAAAGAAATGTTGAAACATACTGTAAAAGACAAAATTTTGACGTGGGTTCTGAAGCCGAAGTTCTGGGTTTCACATGACCCTCATGACTTGAAAGGGAAACACCTGCAGGTTTGGTATGTAAGCCAGAGAGCTGAGGGAATTGCTGGAACTACTGAAGCCAACCCCAAGGGAAGAAAGCAACTTCTTAAGTTGCTATCACCCAGTCATGTGAAAGAGCCCTTATATTAATGAAAACCAAGTTGAAAAAAACCACACACTGGATCAACAGCTGTTATTGGTATTCTCCCAGTTTTAGATGGCCTATCTGTAACATTTAAATTAAGCAGACTTCACTTCAGCAAAGGGTTGAAGTATGTTTCAAAGTCAAGGGTATGTTTAAATGAAGTATTAAAATGACACGAATTTGAAAAGTTGGAATGAGAATTTGGGCAAGTGATTATGCATCACTTGCAAATCACTTGTGCGAGTGATACAAGTTCTTACCTGCTAAACTGAGAACCACTTCTGCCTGGTGAATCACTCTAGTATATTCAGTTTTCTGCAGTACTACACATTTGTACGTACGTTCATCACTCTGGCTGACATTTAACAGTAGCAGAGAAAAATTGCCATTTTCCAATTTATCCCAGAATAATTGAGTCCTGTTTTTAAAGTGAATACACTGTTCACTTTCGTTGTCTTGACCTGAGATCAGTGCATGTACAACTGAACACTCTTCTTGATCATCAGCTATTTGCCAATATACCCGTAAATTTTTTAAGTGCAGCTCTCTTCCTCCATAAATGCAACTCAGTGTGGCATTGTCTCCAAGTTTACTGACAATGATCTTCTCCTCCAGTGCAATAGCTACAAGATAAGAAGAGACAGACAAACAGGGAGGTTATGTGGAAAAAATGCAATTATTTTTAAGTATATTCTACCACATGTGGACTCTGGTATCATTATTTATAACAGGCACCTGAGTGTGCTCACTTCATACTCATTCCTACCTCCTGACTTGCTGGTGGCTAACTCTTTCCATGTCTGTTTGTACATTTTCCAAAGGGACCTTTTAAAATATAGAGCCTTCTGTTTGTTTCTTTCTCTGAGGACCAACCAGTCTAAGTGTTCCCAGCCCCACAGCTACCTGCATGTTTCACTTTACCCACTGACTGCAGACACATATTCAAGTCCTAATGCTTTAATAATAACTTTTTTTTAATTAAGAAAAATGCCAAATAACACTAGGTAAATCAGAAGAAGTGGAAAGATTGATAAGCACAAGAGTGCTACCATTATTTTGAGACCTAAAAAATTAGGAAGGGGAGTAAAGACAGTGTTTCTCAAAGTGGACATGTCATAGCAACCCCATAGCAATGCATCGGTGTCACCCTCTCAACAAATATATCCAGCATGCCCGGCTAACTCCAGTGACACATTCGTTAGACTTTTACAACCTCTCACAGCCATGTGAGGTAGGCAGCACAGTATCTGGCTTTTAGGGCACTTTTCCTGGCCTCCAGACATGAGAAAGACAGCCTCTCCTCCTGGTGAGCAGTGAGGAGGTGTGAGCTGGCTGATGAGGAATGCAGAAGGTGCAGGTCACCTACTCTGAAAGGGCCAGGGCGGCTCTGACCGCAGCCTCCCCGTGGGGAAGGAGGCACCACCTCTCCTCCACTACTGCAGCCAAAACCTCCCGGTGCAACTAGCTGCTGAGACCAAAGCAGGGTGCGCATTGTAAATGTCGGACTGCGGGGTGAGGCAGGGGTCAAGCATGGGATTGGATGGAAGAAGGGATTATGTGGGTGGGTGGATTAGGGAAAGAAAGATGATGGGATCGAGGTTTGGAAATGTGGAACCAGAGCATGAAGAGGTGGGAGGCAGCAATGCTTTAGGTAAAGGCGAATACGTCTTTGTGTTGGTGCGCTGGACTCGGAAATAGCTCATCTACATGTCTGAGTTGGGCTCCCTGTCTTAAAAACACTGCTGAAGTGACTGCTGTACTTGCAGGGATGAAGGCAGTATGTTCTCTCCTTATCCTCTGCTGGGTGAGACAAGAAGTAACAGGCTTGAACTGCAACAAGGATTCTGCAGCTCAGACTTCGGGAAAACCCTTGTAGCAGCAGGAAAAGCAACACTCTGGAAAACATTGCCTGGGAAGGCGGGGGCACCTCCATCAGCAGTGTTATTTAGGAACAGGCCAGCTGGCATCTATTGAAACTGAATCTGGTACAGTTTGTCCTGATTTTGGGGCTGAGGACTTTCCTTGATGACTTTGTTGAGGTTGTTCCCCATCATTAAGGAATAACAGACAAGAGACAACTCTGAAAACATTTAAATATCATCAAGCATTGTCCTTTAACCTTACCTTTGTTTTGAAAGGTATTTTTGGAACTGTACTAAAACAATTTGCTAATATTGGGTACTTGATACAGTGATGTATAATTCTAGTCGTAATATGAGTAGGGACTTTATCCAGGCATGTTAGATCTGCTTATCAACAGCCCGTATTACCCTGCTTCTAAGGCCTTTTGTTGGCAGAGATAAATACGCAGGGATGTCTGTAAAGCAAGCAGAGCAATCTAAGCAAGAGCACCCATAAGGTCTTTTGCTATTCTCAGTACTGAAACTGATATTTTCTTCTTTCCCTGATGCATGTCACACTGAGAAATTCTTAAGTGTCTTGCTGAAAACATGCACATGTTCATATTGTTTGTATTACAAATACTCTGTATATTTGGCCAAACACATTAAGGGATGGCAGCTTCATTTTTAACTGAAGTGTTCTGAACTTACCAGCTTGGAGGATATGAAGGAGCAGTAACAGAAATCCATAACTAAAATAAAAAAGCAAACAAAAGTGTTACATGATAGACTTTAACAACAATCTCTGTTGTTTACATAAGCAATAAACCTAATATTGTTTCAGCATAGTAGCAGAAGTAGGTAAATTAGGTACTGCTACTAAGTAATGTCCCAGTAAAGTATTTGCATTTTTGACAGCTGCAAAACTTCTGCTCAAACGACATAACTCTGTGGGTGGGTGGCCAAGGCCATGAATAGCAGTAAAACACGCTAATATTGGAATCGGGGCAGAAGGCATGAAGCTAGTGTTGTGCCTGTCTTTCTTGTGAAAGATGAACTCTATAGACTTACTGGACAAACAGGCCCTGGAGGATATCTGGATCATTGGGAAGGAGTGTGGCTGCACAGCCCTAAATCCAGGTTAAAGCACTGCATCCCACTGTTTTGCTGAAACTCCATGAGTTTTATCTGGTCAAAGGATAACAAGCAGCTGACCATGCTGCCCGCCGTTTTGTGCACTCAGTAAAAATGTGTAAATGGGAAATGTGTGATAGCAGGGAGCTGTGCAAAGGTTTTGCTGGAAAGAGTTTGGTGTGTTTGCTCCTGAGGGGCAAATCTATGCGGGAGTTTCCCAAGGGAGATACAGCTGCTGGAAAAAGGTGCTAGGTTAAACTGGGTTTTCCCATCTATAATGAGCAGGTGATATAACTCTCATCCCGTAGGGCTTTAAGAAAGATAAATGTGGAGCACTAAGAGTTACTTTAAAATAACCTTTCACCAACCATGCCTAGCTATACATTGTGCTCTTCTTCCTCCAGACCGCTGTGGGAAAGGAAAGGAAAAAGAGGAAAGGAAGATACTGGAAAGGTTTTGGAACGGGAGCTGTGTGGCTGCAGTTGCCCACCTTGATATTGCTCTGATGCACTAAGGTTACAAAGCTGAGCCAATGGGCAGAGGAACATGAGTACCTGCTCATCCCCACTTTCTCCAGCTCACTTTTGCAAGCAAGCAGGACTATGAGGCCACACTATGTGGGTGCTGCTGGTTCCCTTCCCCAGTTCTCAACCCTCAGCCAGGTCCAACACTGAGCCAAGGGCTGGGGCAATGGGGAGAGCTGCCCCCAGCAGCTCATGTCCACCCAGGAGCAAGCTCAGGGTCTCCCACCCAGCCTGTTTGTTGTCTTCCCTCTAAATGAGCCGTGCCCCGGCTGACCCTCCTCCCTCCAAGCCCTAACCTAAGCTCACTCCCCCAGCAGCCATTTCTCACCTCACTTTTCCCCATCAGCTTCACATATTTGGCTTCCCATGGAGAAAGCAGAGGACATTTCTGATGCAAAATCTATCTCCACTTGAAGAGCCATCTCCAGAGAATGAGATGGGGAAAGCTTAGGGAAGAATCAGTCTGAATTGTATTACTTCTATATGAAGAAAACGCTTCCTTTTCCTTTTCTGTGTCCTTTGAAACAGCTTCATAAGTGAGGTTTCAAAAGTTTAAGTGGATACCCAGTGAGGAACATTTCTGCTCTACTACTTATTTTAGTAAATCTGCAATCAGCCCTAAAGTACATCTCCCAGGTAAGCGTACCTAAACACTCCAGGGAGGCAGCTGTGTTCTGTCTCTGGCAGTGACTTTAGGTGGCTTTTGCACATGGTCTTGTACGGTATTTCTGCTGTATTTTTACACTGTGCAGAAGCCATCAATTTTATGCCAGGCTTGTAAAGGTCTGTCTTGACAAGCTCACCTTAATGTAGTTCTTAATCATTTTTAATCCTGTGGCTGTGTTTGTTTTATTGTTCCCTGCCCAAGCTATAATTTGAATTAAACAACAATTGACTGATCTTTATGGGACTCTTTAGGAAATTTCCCATGGTAGGCAATTGCTAATGCTAACAAACATTTAGATAGTCAGCCAGAACTGATTCGCTGATGTATGTATACAAAGCAGCTCTTGATTTCTTATTTTAATAAATGATGTCACAGCCAAGGTTGGAGAGATCTAGAGATGCTCATCCTCTTAATTGGAGGAGATGGCAGCTGTGGTACTGTGGGGGCAGCGTCAACCCACTGTGTTCCCCTGGAATAGCTTTAATGCCAAGCTCCTGTTGGAAAAAGGGAGAAATGCTCTTGCCTGTGGAGAAACCTCCCTTTTGCCCCATATGTACATGCAGCTCCTGTGTCCATCACACTGGCAGTGAGCTCCTCTAAAAGCAGGTGTAGCTGCATTAGTTTCTTAGGTTCTCTCTCTCCTTTATTTATTTTTTTAAAAATATTTTAAATTATTTTTTTTCTTTTTCAATTCTTTCCCACACCTTCCCCTTCTATAGGTTTTTTAAAATGTCATGCGAAACGGGAGAAAGTTGCACTTCCTCTTTCATACATTCTTGTTTGGTGAGATTATTCTTCCTACCAGTAAGTCAAGTTTTTCATGCACTATTTATTTTAAAGTCAGGGGATGGTGCTGTTCCGGCACAAACTAACCAGACAAAAGATAGAATCATAGAATCATTTAGGTTGGAAAAGACCTCTAAGATCATCAAGTCCA